TATGTTTCGTAAGAATCAGAAAATATAGTCTTAAATTGATTTCTAAAAAAAAAACAATGAATTGATTATTCCTGATTTAAAAATATTTTCAAAACTCAACTTCAAAGGTACAATAATACTTTGATGATGAATACTGAATGAATTTGGTAATATAGCAATGGAATCATTTATATTATAATGAATTTTAAACAAATCAAATAATTTGAAATTTAACAAATCTAAGTTTGAAAAATCACGTGGCAACAAGTTCCTTCTAGTAATACTTCAATTTTCACTAGAAAATACCCATCATTTTCTTTGTTGAACTATTTAAAATAAATTAAATATTAAAATATTTTAAAAACCATCAAGCAAAATCAAAACAATTTGATGACTAATAATTCCTTGTGAAATGGAAAATTTGTATAATTATCATTATGAGTTGAAATGTTAATTCTACTTCAAGAGTCCATTAAATTCTTCTTATATAAAAATTTACGAAATAAATATTTATTTAAAGGGTTGTTTTTTGCATGGGGTTTAGGTTTATTGGTGATAGATAAAGGTGACAAATATGGTTTCACATTCTAAGTCCGATTTATAATAAAATGGATATTCAACATGAGAAAAATTTTACCCCAGCCTATCTAACCCTAACCCTTGCATTTAGTCATAGTCATATAATGAAATTTATTAAATTCTACCAATAAAGTAGCGTAACACAGATTCGTTAAAAAAAACATAATAATTTAAAATATTAGTTAGCAATTCAAACAGTTATCGCATTCCATAAAATATTAAATGTGTATCCTCCTCATCTTTATTAGAGCAAGCTCTAAACTCACCCACCATATACAAATATTAGAAAAACGAATATTGAATGTAATAGTTTATTTGATTTCCAAAAAAAAAAAGAAATCTAATTAAAAAAAACCTTGGATATAAAAATATATGAGAAATTTTGTAAGAATCAGTTAATATCAAAAGTGAAAACCTAAAAAATCCGACTAATAATATTGTTAAGAGCAAGATCATAAAAGGAATAGAAAATATAATGGATGGAATAGAATAGATAGAATGGATAAATAATAAAATGGAAAAAGAGTGAATGTAAAGCAAAAAAACTGGCTGACAATTTTTTTATTTAATTTGATCTTATTACAAAAAATCACAATAATTGATGGAACTTTTGTCTTTAAAAAGTTATTTTACAGAAAAAAATACATTATACCAGTATGATCACGTTTCATGTGTAACATGAAATGTTAGAGGGATGGATATATTTAACTTTTGATGTCGCTTATGCCGATTTTCGTGAAATCCTTTTGGTAGGAGTTATGATTTTCATTTATTTTTTTTTGATATCTGACCATGATATAATCATTATGATAAATTTTTAATAACAGGTATAGCAATCCATGAATGTTTGTATTAAAAAAATTACATTGAACCTTTTTAAATATAAAGAAAAATGTTTATGTAATTTTATTAATAAATAAATAATTCATTATCATCATTCGTTTAATACCCATCCCTATAAAAGCAAATATCTATTAAATGTTTAGAAATTTTAAATTATATTTATTCATTAATTAATGGATTCGTAAATTATACATTATATTATATTTTAAATGTATATATTATATTACCTATTACATCTGGAACTGTAGAATATCCAAGGAAGAAAGGATTAAAAAAATTTATTTTGAAATATAAAAAATCTTACTTCGCATAGTAACATAAAAATATCAGTAATATTTTAAAAAACATAATTTACATGAATTTCAGATTATGCGAATAGTAAGATTAATATACGTAAACATAATAAAAACATAAAAATATCAAGATCAAAAAATAAGTAACAAATAAAAAATAAATATATGTATATTGGAATAAAGAATTTAAAATCGTCATTTCAGCTTCTTAGCGATGCATAAAACTTTAAGAATAAAAAACAGAGTTGAAAGTTACTTAAACTAGCACAAAACTATTAAACATCTAAACTATCAAACTATTTATCCACTAATTAGATTATCATCCTTCGTATTAGAGGCCGATTATATAAAAGAACAAATCAACAAAAATATGTAGGACAGTTCTAAAAAAAAAGAAACTTGTGAATAACTTGCATAGAATAACGAACAGATGGTTATTTATGAGAAATGCCATTACTAATATCACGTGAAAGTATAGCAGATAATGATTATATCAAGGATATTTATAATGATTATAATAGCAATAAAGAATAATATTAAAATTAAATTTACAAAAATCATATACATTTTACAACACACTAAGAAAATTTTGTTTAAAAAAGAAAAAAAATCATTCGCTTAATCATTCACTCTTTTTTTTTTTGATATTTACAAAATTTACAAAATTTACAATAAAAAAATGTCTTGACAAATAATCTCAAAAATTTATTAAATTTCATAATGACTATGATGTAATCATTGAAGGAAAAATCGTTTATGGTGCATTCTAACACATTGAAATTCCGATCGCATCATTCGGAAGAGAAATGGAAACATTCAGCCAAATGAAATAATATTAAAATAATTATTAAATCAAGCATTTCTTTTTTAATACTATTGCTTATATTGAAAATTTTGTTTTATTTATTTATTTTTTTTAGATATGGAGATACTGAAACAATATTTATTTTTGATTTAATGTTAATTACAGACTTGAGAAATTAATCAACAAATTATAAGCTAAACTAAAGGGCTCTTGGTTGACAACATATTTTTTCTTTTATTTATCATTCTATTTTTAGCCGAAACAACTTTAAAAATTAGAAACTTCTATAATGTTGCTGTTATTAAGTATCCAAACTTTATTTTTTGATTTTGCTTCTCTCGAAGAATCTGTATTATTCTTTTTTCTCAAAAGAAAAGGTTTTCAAATCGAAGAAATTAAAATTTGGGACTACATCATCAAGTGAGGCGTTGCTCAGACTTCAATCTTCCTACGAATCTTGATGATTGAAACAAGGAAATTTCCTTACCCAAAAGACTACTCTATGACAATGTATACCGCATATTCGCTATTTTCATATTTCAAGTATTTCAGTTGTTGATTAAATTGAACCATCGGAAAGTCTCGATAAACAATTTTAGAAATAATTATATGACACCTGTTAATTCCTGACCGACGGTAAAATTATCCCTCGTCCAATAAAATCTTTTTCATTTCTGAAGAACACGCCGCAGGAAATTTCTATATGGATTAACCGTAGCATATATCTATATAAATTTGAATAAATCTTACATGGAACTCGAGATGAATTTGCATCACAAACATTTTGGAATATCTGCCATGGCTACGTTTGCACGGTTTTTTTATTGAAAGTTGTAGGAATCAATGAAATTGTTGGAGTTTATAATCCTTCTTTATGGGATAACAGCAATAATTTTAGTGAATGGATGGAAACAAAGGATAGCGTCATTTTCTCAATAAAAATAGTATTATTCAAATTCAATTCTTAGCTGAGTAAAAATCTCCCAATCTGAAATTCTTTCATATTTTGATGATTTTTGGATGTATAGTTATGATTTAATTTCACGTTGTTTCCAAAGAACATCCATCATCAAAAATTTCAATCACCAATTATGGAGTATTTAAGATTGATTATTTGGAAAACTAATTAAAGGTTATATACGTAAGGAAAATAGTATATGTTCAGATTTTATATGTATCAGTATTTATTATTTGAAAATTATATTTAATTAAATTATTAAAAAAATTGAATTTTAATCTGTATCTAAATTACATCGGTTTATGAAAAAATTGAAACTATAGTTTTTAGAAAAAAACACTTTAAAAATCAAAAGTTATTTATTACATTATTTATATAATATTTATTTTACTTACTATTTATTGCATTAGTTGGAAAATTATATGGGATCTCTATCAGAATCATGATTTTTGATTGCGAAATTTATTATTAAGCAATTAATGTTCAACAAATAACAAACGCAACAACCGAATATTTTTTAATAATCAAAGAATATTCTATAATAAATAAATAAATATTAAATTAATTGCAAAATTATTCTCATAAAAAAATAAGAGAAATTGTGATGTGATGATTGTTCTAAAAAACAATATAAGCAGCTTATATAACACAGCTAACATCGTTAGAATATTATTAAATAACCATTTTCAAGCTTACAAGTCCACCATTAGCCCATTTGTGCCAATCGAATCTTTTAATAACATACTTTAATAAAAACTGATTTACAGACTTACTGAATTTGAATCTTAGATCTAACACATCAGTAAATAGTAAATATACCAATGTTCTTAAATGTTAGTGCATTTTGTGCTCAATTTGGAAAGATAATTATTATTTTGTCACTTTAATTTTGTATTCATACAATATTTAATTCTTTCGACAAAAATTTTAAGAATATAAAAATCTTATCCACTAAAAATCCTCTTTATTTACCACCGTACACTTTAAATACCTGCTGATTAATAATATTTTGTACAAGCAAAAAGACATTAAATTGGTTAATAAAGCATGTAAATACCTTCATAATTGAATTATTAAATTCCAAATAAATTCAATATTCATAAGGAAATCATTTTATTAAGAAGAAAAGCTGCTTATATTGCTTAAATGATAAATTATTTATTAGTGCTAAAAAATAAAATGCGAAAACTTGCCTGAGTTCTTTTTTCATGTTTAAGTCCAGAAAATAAACAATAATATTACATTTTTCTACTTAACGGAATTTAATAAATTAGTATATATTATATCAAGCTGTTGACATTTTACTTATTTAATTAATACTATTATTTTTACTTTAAAACCAATATTTATTACGACAAATATTAAAAAAAAGAAAAGAAAAAAAACAAATTGCATATTTATAATGAGATAAAACGCAAATTTCAAAATTACAGTCATATTTGATGCAAACAGAAATGACAAAAGATCAAATACATTCAGAAAAATACGTTTATAAATTAAAAATAGTCATAATCATCTTTACAATAAAAAAAAAAAAATTTAATTACATATTACTGACTATTTTTTCTAATAATTCATTGGCATATTTATTCCCGTTTTCCTTTGCTTTGTTAAACCAGTAGATAGCATTTAAAATATCTTTCTTAGTTCCAAGTCCTTCATAAAAGCATTTTCCAAGACAGAATTGACCATCAGCATAATCATTTTCTGCAGCTTTTTTGAACCATTCAAATGCTTTCACTTGGTCAATATAACCATAAAAAATTCCTAAAGAATACTGTGCCTTATTATATTCTTTTTCAGCTGCCTTCAGATACCATTTAGATGCTTCATTTTTGTTTTTACGAACACCTATACCACACTCGTAATGATAGCCAGTATTAAACATTGCGAAAATGTTTCCTGCATGTGCAGATTTTATATACCATTGAAATCCTTTAGTTTCATCTTTTGATATTCCCATTCCATTGTCATAACACCAACCAACATTATTTTGTGCCATGAGAGACCCTTCTTCTGCAGATTTTAAATATAATTTAAAACCTTTTTCTTTATCTCTTTTAACTCCAAACCCATTATTATAACAATATGCTACAGAGACCGAAGCCATAAGTGACCCTTCATTAGCGAGTTTATAATAAATCTGAAATGCTTTTTTGGTATCTTTTTCAACACCTAGACCATGGAGAAGCATAATTGCAAGAGAAAGGGAACTGATTTCTTTGTTAATGCTGTACAGTCTTCTTAAGGATGAAGAATTAGAAGAGGGGGTATCAATTATTTCATTGACAGGTAAATTAAATAATTTATAAGCCATTTGATAATCAACAACGGTCCCAATGCCATGCTTGTAAAAAAATCCTATCATGCTAGTAAACAAATAATAAGATGGATGGCGAATCATTTTATATAGAATTTCAACTGGATTCTTTTTGTGTTCTCTAATATATTTTTTGATCATAATTGGTCGAATATCTTCGTACTGGGTTTTGCGTGCATCAATAAAAATTTCAAACAGACCAATAATAAAATCGTTAAATTCTTCAATAGAAGGAGGATCAGGTTTAATTTCAGGTTCTTCATTTTGTCTTAATAAAAGAAAATTTTATATTTGATAAATGTTCGGAAGATTTAAATAAATATTAAAAAAAAAAAAATAAAAAAAAAATGTAACTTACATATTTAAATTTTCCAATTTAACATCTGTGACATTATAAGGTTGTGATTGAGGAGCTTCAAATTCAACGATTGTACCAGAGATAATGATTTCAGAAAGATTTTTAACAACTTGGAAAATATCTGGTCGTGAGTTTCCATCGTGTTTCCAGCAATCTGTTATAAATATAACTCTATTACATTAATAAATTATTATGTAAACAATATAAATGATTTTAATAGATATTTGAATTAATACCAGTATATATTTCCTTGTATTTATGAGGTGTCCCAGGGACAGTTATTTCCCTTTTCCCTTTTGCAATACTGTTTAACAAATCAACATTCGATGAGGATTCCATTTCAAAAGGAGGATTACCGCTAGAAATTTCCCAAAGAATAATTCCTAGACTAAATATATCAGAACTTTTATTTTTGCCAATCGTGCTGAAGAGTTCCAAATATTGAGGATCCATGTATTGTATTGGGCCAAGATTACTTGTAACGAATCTTAAAGAATCGGAAATAATTTTTGTTAATCCGAGAACATTTAATTTAATGATCCCATTATGAATAAGAATATTTTCAGAGTTCTAATTAAATAAATTATAAAATAAAAACAAAATTAAAATAATTCATTTAGTGAAATTTATTTTAATAATAATATTTTTTTTAAAAAAAAAAAGTAATTACGAATTTCCCATGAATGATATCATTTGAATGTAAAAACATTAAAACATCTGTAATTTGTTTTGCAAGATTTAATTTTGCATTCCAATCCATTTTTTGAAAATTAATTTTCAAATATTGACGAAGAGAACCTTCATTAACATATTCGAGGATAATCATATAATTGCTAGTATTTTCTATAAAAATAAAAAATTTTTAAATGAACTAAATAAATAAAGTAATTAGATAAATATTAAGCATAATATTTAAATAATTTACCTTGTTTAGTTACGCCATAGAATTTAAGAATACTATCATGAATTTCCAATTTTCGGTGTCTTTTAATCTTTTTCAATTAAAAAAATAATAATAGAAATGTAAAAAAGTAAGAATATAAAAATTATTAACAGCAAATTAAAATTCTAATAATAGAATAAATAAAATAATTTAATATACTTCATTTATTAAATTATCCAGTGTAAATTTATCATTATTATTTAAATAAACATTTTTAAGAGTGACAGTTTTTTGAGAAATTTTAAAAGTGGCTTTAAAAATATTGGTAGTAACCAATTGTACATTATAAAATTCAGAATGGTGATAAAATGGGATACTTTCTTTTTGAAAAATATCTTCAATAAATAGATTTTCGTTTGTCTTTTTTTGGGACATGATTGAAATTATGGTGAAAAATGAATTGATTTAGTATATATATGTACAAATGTCACACTGTCACATTGTGTAGCTACATATGGGAGAATTTTGTTTGATTGTAAATCTAAAAATATAAATAAAGAAATTATAATTGTAAGACGATTAATTTCCTTTTTCAGTAATTATAAATCAAATAAATGAAATTTTTTGTGATAATTATTTATTGATCAACATTTTTATAGAACATTTTGGATAAATAATTTACATGAAGAAAGGAAAAGAGAAAGAATTTAAAATAAGAGGAGAAGAGACACGAGAAAAGAGTCAAGAGTAGGTGAATTGAAGGAAGAGAAGTATTTAAGTGTAGAGGAAAAGAGAAAGAGGGTTTTCAAATGAAATGAAAGATAAGGTGAGAAATATTTTGAATCCTCCGAACGAGATGAATTGGTGAATTTAGCGATATGGTGGAGCTGTTGTATTATCTTATCTTAATTCAATGTTAATGCCAGAGAGGTAAGCTTATTTGTTTGTGATAAATGAAATTGCAAAAACTTACAAGGTTTTTATATTTCTTACAACATTCTATATATTTTTTTATTATTTTCACCATAAAAAAATATAAAATAATTTGTTAAAACTACTGAATATAAAAGTTCAAATTTTAAATTTGAAAATTTATTCATTGTCATATTTTTGTTACCTCATTTAATATTTTATGTACATAAATTTTTTGAGATGACCTTTTTGTCAAGGTGATATAGAAAACAACACCCGTGTTTTTTTATGTTCATTGCAGACAGACAAAAACTTCTTGATGACAAATATGAAGGAGAAGTACATCAAGATCATTATTCACGAAGCAAATTTAGATCTACTAAATAAGCAACTCAACCTTTTATGGATGGGTTTGAACAACATAATCAAGGCCTAATGGAATTCAAGCAAATATGCTTTAGTAGAGCTGATTCCTAATTTGTTATTAACGTTATATGAAAAGGTAATGGGCGATGCCAAGGATGGGTAACTAGTGGTGTTGAGGGGCGTACAAAGTTTCAGGCACCATCCATCTCAAATTTGGAAGTATTCTGCGAGAAATTCATTATTTGGAAAAAAGCCAAAACATCAGGACAAAAGAGAGAAAGTTAGGAAGGAATGACTTAAAGTGTGGAGTGGCAGTTATTTGTCAGACTCGAAGGTCATCATACAGTGATACGGATAACGACCACCAACCGCAATAGCACGTAGACCGCTCAGTTGCACTCAGAATTTATTTGGATTATAATTCGGGAGAGAAGTGTAACTCTCTTAACACAGAGTTTTTTACGTGAAACATGGCTACGTTCGAACTCGAGGTTCATGAATGGAATTAGCAAACATGGGACTACTTATTATTATACATAAAACTAGCTGACAGAGCCTTGGCTAATCAGTTCCTCAGTTCTACTGAGCATGATATGCTGTAGATTAGATTTTTCTTTAATTTAACAGGCTCTTCTATGTATTTTCTTTGTTTAGTGAGTCTTGTATTTATTTTTCATTTTAATAAACATCTTGGAGTTTGCTCCATTGGGTTAAAAAATAATTTTTTTTTTTTTGCAGTGAATATTCTGTTCGCTTAATTCTTTCAAAATTATATTTCAGATTTCGCAACAAACAAATTTTTCCTCATCGTAAATCAAAATTTAATTTAGCTATATCTTCATAATATCTATAATTAACGGCTTCTTTATCTATAATGCAATATCACCTCTTATTTGAAAATCCTACACAATTTCATTAGTACAAATATCTATAAATTCTTCAGACCCAAATCAATGAAATAATGACTGTTCACGCTATTAGTCAAAACGTTTTCAACACTTGTATCATAATTTTTAGAAAAGAAAATTTTCTTGGGTACAGGTTTAAGTTGCCAGCTTATTCTTATACTTTCGTTCTTCCTTTATTTGTAGAAGTTCATACAGTCTTAGAACTTTCGTAACAACTTTTAGCATGCCAAACCATAAAACTTTCAAACTCGACACTCTGAATGATGAGTCCTTATAGCATTAAGGACTCGCAATTGTAAAGAGATTAAATAAAACACAGAAAAAAATATTATACGAATTTAAATCCAGCATCTTCAGATCCAAAATTAATAAGAGGATGATTAAGTATACCAGAGATTATCTTAATAATTATCCAACGCATTTTATTCAGATTCCAGGATCAAAGAAATGAGAATAAGTTTTTTTTTCATATCGTTCCTTGTCTTGTGGAAAGATAAATAATTTTCAAATTTTGAGATTAAGGCAGGTGAAATAACATTATTTCTTTTTGTATTTTATATTGAGTTCACAATACGTATCAGAACCGGAATAACTTACAGTAATCAGTACCTACCATTGAGCTGAATTGGATATACGGATATTTTAATAGTTAGATAATGTTTTATTTGTCACGTTTTTCGCTCTTAAAGCAAAAATTATAAGTAAAAAGATTGTCTTTCGTCCTGAATCTTCCTTGCAGGGATCATAAAACTTGCTAATAATCAAGAAATACAGGCTAACGGATATTGTGCTAGGAGCATCTGATGGACAATGATTAAGTTAAAAATATTTACCATTCTGTTGCTTGAACCATTCTTCAGGTTCTCCAAGTTTTGATGGTTCCGGTAAACGACTCAGTCTTTCCAAGTATAATCTTAATCTATATCTCTTATCATCAGATATTTTGATCTGATTATTTATACAATATTTATGTTTTTCAATGAAATCGATGAGTTCCTTTTTGACCAGTTAATATTTATGTCATTATTGTCAATAATGAACTTATGATCTGTCAATCGGTCACTGAGATCAAAAGCTAGTTGCAAACGGAAATATAACGAAATAAAATCCTCCCAACCTTTGTAACTAACACATATGACAGTTGATTCATGGTACTGGAAGTACATGTCTAAAAATAACGACAATCATTTGAAATATATGCGAAACGTTATTGACGAATACATAAATTTGAAGATATTAAAAAGAATTCTCTTTTCTCTCAATTCTTGCACCTCCTGACTTAAAAAAATGTGAAAAACGGAAAACCATAAAATAATGGAACGTGTACTTGATATAGAGATATGAAATATTGTTGTTCAACATTTACGTGGCAACTTTATAATAACATGAACATTCATATTAGATGGTTTCTCAGTTCAGCTATATCCTATATTTTGGGTTGCAAGTTCATCTTGGTCCTGAAGAGAAAGAGCATTTAATTGATCATAATTACAATCATCTGGTATTTCCACTTTCCATAGTCTGAGCTTGTTCGCTTCAATATTAGCTACAGTATTAGGATTCTCCACTTTGATTACTTCCTTTAATTCACCAATAATCTTGTCCGTGGTAACCTTTACAGGAAACGCCTGCATCATTGAGTTTCCTTTAATAAGGCAGAAAAGTTTTATAGACATTGTAAGTTATATATGCAACTTTTGTATTTGAGACGAAAAAAAATTTTTTAAATTATAATCTAATTAATCTGATCAATTATGAAAGCAAATTTCCATGATCTTCCATGGTACAGGATGATTAAATACACACATAATGCTTGAAATAATATTTAATTTGGTTTCGCTTATTTTATTTATGAAAAAAAATTAAATAATTTCACATTTAAATTATTTTAAAATATTTCTGTCTATCAAATAAATTTAATAAAAAATTTTTTCTTTGTTTAAAATTATTTATCAATAGCTATTATATATTATTTCTTTAGTATACAGTATATTTCCAATTCATTCTATTCAGCATCCATCAACCGTGGCAACACTTTGATAATTTATTCTTTAATAAAATTTTCCGAGGAAGCGAAATGGCTCGAACACTTTGAGATACATATTATGGTCATGGTCATTCGCAATTATGAGAGTTAAGAAACAGGCGGAATCCTTGGTAGATATAATCCTTTAACTTGGGATGCAAATGTTATTAAAACATTTAAAATAACTAATTTCTCATTGAAAAATTGATAAATACGAAATTCAATTCTTAGCAGAATTGAGAATGCCGGTAAAGATAAACAAAAAAATCGTGGACCATATTTTGGAAATCATCTTTATTTACATAGCCCTAGTTCTAATTTTACTTTAGATAATAATTATCTTTGATTGCGGTCATTGAAAGACACCTATTAGAAAGAACATTTTAATTCAAAAAAAAAGATGATAAATTCAACGTTTTAAAAAAATGGTAATTATCAAATGTATACTATTGAAAATTGTGAATTATTTAAAGTTGTTAATTAACTTTGATATTTCTAATATAATTAATTGAAGGCAGAAGATATTACCTTTATCTACAAAATAAATTATTGAGGTAGATATATAAATATATGTATACACGATTTATTTATTTAAAATAAAGTAAAAAAATGAATGCTTAAAGAATAATAAACTAAAATATATATGAGCCATTGTCTAGAAGATATATTAATCAAATTTCTTTAAACAAACAACTCAATAATTTTTAAAAAATAGAAATATAAATATAATTATACAAATATTTTCATTCAAAATTAGTAGAATAATACTCACTTTAATAATTAAGAGAATGATATACAAAAGTAGTAATAAAATAATAAATAAGAAAAGTGGAAATGGTAGCGCAATAGTTTGTTAAATCACCGCGATCAGATCTTTCGATAGAAAAGTGTTGCTAGCTAATTGTGATATTAAGTTTTAATAATATGGAAGTTGTTAAATATAAAGTCGTTTGTTTTATAAAAATAGTATAAATTTTTTAGAATTTTAGGAGTTATTAATAATAAATTTTCTTTTTATGTTGAAAAAAAGACGTTTTCAAAGTGTTTACATTCTAATAATTCTGTCCTTTTCAAAAAAAAATACGCAATAAATTTATTGGTGAAACTAATCAAAGTGATTTTAATATTCATATCCGCTGATTGACTATTTCCGATCAGGTGACAATTATAATTTGATTAATTTTTTTCGAAAAATATATAAAATATTTAAAATATTTAAAATATTTAAAATCTTAATATTTATTAATATGACTACTTTCTGACCTCTAAGTAAAAATATTTAGTACAAAAATTTTACATATATTAATATTTTAAAAAAATATTCTATTAAATAAATAAAGTTTGAGCGTAACTAGACTACTAAAAGTAAACCGTAAGATTTTGATAATTAATTATAAAATTTCAATGGCGCACGCACAAAAACAAATAAATTAAACCTACTTTACTAAAATAAACCTAACCATCATTAAAATTCACTTGATTTATATTCAAATTTAAAATAGAAGGTTAAGTATGTAACAGCGAAGGTAAAGGATGGCTTGTAAGGTATGCCTCAGAATGTGTAGTTTCAGATAGTAGTTCAAAATCTTCATCTTGCAGTTCTTGATCTGCCTTTAAAAACATATATGAATTATATGTTTTATCATCATATGTCAAATCTTGAATCCAAACTTCTGATATTTCAAAAATTGTCTCAGCACTTGGACGTTCAGATGGATCTTTGTGCCAACATTTTTTCATCAAATCTGCATAACATTGAGGTGTACCTTCATTGATTTTCGGTCGAAGCCCATTGAGAATATCAGCAGCTAATTCTTCATCATAGGCTCTAATTGAAAATGGTATTTTTCCTGTTGAAATTACCCACATAATAATTCCAACACTATAAATATCTGAAGCTAATGTATATTGATATTTATTCAATACCTCAGGTGCAATATATGGCAATACACCATATGCTCCAGATGATGTAATTTCATTTGCTAATCTGCATAATCCTAAATCTCCTAATCTTATGAATTTTAAATTTGAATTATTATATGCTTCGGTTATCATGAGGTTACCAAGATGAAGATCTCGATGAAAAAATCCTTTACTATGAATAACTTTTAATCCTCTGATAAAAGAATTCAATAACCATAACCTTTTAATCCAAGGTAATGATTTATTTTTGTTAAGAAAATCTCTCAAATTTCCATTTTTCATATATTGTAAAATTACAGCATATTCCTTCGTTGTTGAATCTTGTGTTATACCTAAAATTGGTAAAACATATATATCTCGACATTGGAAATTTGTGATCAACTATATTTATAAAAATTATAAATTAAAATAAGTATATTATAAAAAATATTGATATAATAATTTATTATATATTTACCTCATTTAAAAACACGTAATTAATTTCTTGAGAATTCTTAAGTTTTTTCAAGACAACTTGATTTGATTTATAAAATTCAAATAATTCTTCAGGCATATCTATCCATTCAGTTTTCCAAATACTACCAAATGCTCCTTCTGCTAAATATTCTATATTTTCGAATTTACTAAAATCTATCCATCTCCAAATTTCCCATCCCTTTGCATTTTCATCTAATTGAGTCATTTGAATGATCTTGTCAATTTCATAATTTCCACTGGTCCATTTGAAAATTTCTACAATTTTACAATCGGAATGGCATCTATGTTTTAAATTATTTTGATTTTTTTTAATCTTTTCATTTTGGTAAAAATATTCAATTAAACTTTGTCTAAATTTATCTTCGCATTCGGCTGCTTTGAAGTACCATTGAAATGCTTTCTCTTCATCTTTAATGGTTCCAACTCCATATTTATAACAATTTCCAACATTATTCTGACCATTACGGTTTCCCTCCTCAGCTGACTTCAAATACCATTGAAATGCTTTCCTTTCATCTTTTGTTGTTCCAATCCCATTTAGATAACAATATCCAACGTTATTTTGTCCATTAAGGTTTCCTCCTTCAGCTGATTTCAAGTACCATTGAAATGCTTTTTCATCATCTTTGATGGTTCCAATTTTATATTGATAACAATATCCAAGATTAAATTGTCCATCAATATCTCCCTCTTCAGCTGATTTTAAATACCATTGAAATGCTTCCTTTTCATCTTTGATGGTTCCAATTCCATTTAAATAACAATACCCAAGATTGATCTGACCTAATTGGTTTCCCCCTTCAGCTGAATTAAAGTACCATTCAAATGTATTCTCCTCATCTTTTGTAGTTCCAATCCCATTATAGTAACAATATCCAACGTTATTTTGTCCATCATTATTTCCCTCATCGGCTGATTTCAAGTACCATTGAAATGCTTTCTCTTCATCTTTGATGGTTCCAATTCCATTTTCGAAACAATATCCCAGATTATTCTGACCATTACTATTTCCACCTTCAGCTGACTTCGAGTACCATTGAAATGCTTTCTTTTCATCTTTTGTTGTTTCAATCCCTTTTTCATAATAGCGTCCAAGATTATATTGTCCACAACTATTTCCACCTTCTGCTGATTTTAAGTAACACTGAAATGCTTTTTCATTATCTTTTGTTGTTCCAATCCCATATTCATAACAATGACCAAGACTATTCTGTCCATTACTATTTCTACCTTCAACTGATTTCAAGTACCACCGAAATGCTTTCACTTCGTCTTTTATTGTCCCAATCCCTTGCTGATAACAATAACCAAGATTATTCTGTCCATCACTATTTCCCTCTTCGGCTGATTTCAAGTACCACTGAAATGCTTTCTCCTCATCCTTTGCTGTTCCAATCCCTTTTTCATAATAGCGTCCAAGATTATATTGTCCATAACTATCTCCATCTTCAGCTGATTTCAAGTACCATTGAAATGCTTTCTTTTCATCTTTAATGGCTCCGATTCCATTTTCATAACAGTATCCAAGATTATTTTGTCCTAAATGGTTTCCCCCTTCGGCTAATTTCAAGTATAATTGAAATGCTTTCTTTTCATCTTTTGTTGTTCCAATCCTATTTCTATAACAATATCCAAGATTGATCTGACCTAATTGGTTTCCTCCTTCAGCTGATTTAAAGTACCATTGAAATGCTTTCTCTTCATCTTTTGTAGTTCCAATTCCA